CCTTGAACTCACAGAGATCTGCCTGCCTCTGCCTCCCGAGTGCTGGGATTAAAGGCATGCTCCACCACGCCTGGCTCCATTTACACTTTTAATTAATTATTATTTATATACTTTTAAGACAGGGTCAGGCTGGCCTCAGATTCCATGTATAACCAAGAACAACCTTGAACTTCTGAGCCTCCTACTTCCACCTCTCAAGAACCTACTCTCAGTAACTAACCCGTTCCCACAATAACTAGCTCACTCACACAATAAATAATTAACAAAATTACTCCATTGCTAAGGACTGTCTCCTCATGATCTAATCACCTCTTACTTGGCTCTGTCTCTAATGCTGTTGTACTGAGGATTTAGCTCTAACACATGAACTTGAGGGGGGTGCATTCAAACCATAGAAGGTGCTCTTGATTGAAATGGAAGGGTCAGTAGTTGAAGTTCTTAATGAGGTAATCTGCTTCTCTGGGACATATTGGCTCTTGATTTCTTTCTTTTCACTTCAGCTCATTTATTCATTCATCAAAAGCATTGCATGTGCACTGGCTGTGTGTCTGACAATACTCTGCTAAGCTCTGAGATGCCAGGGGAATAGGAACTCACTTCTTGCCCTTACCTGGGTAAGGTGGTGACAAACAGGCAATTACCATATAAGGTGAGTAGTGCTAAGATTGAGGGCCACCAAGGACACCATGGAAGCATAGAGGAGGGGCATCTAACCAGACTGCCGGATGGGGTAGAGAAATGAGGTAATGTCTCAGTTGAACTGAGTCATGAAGGATGATCAGGGTGAGCCAGGCAGGAGTAGTGAGAAGGTCATTTCGTGGAGAGGAGCAGCAGGTTCAAAGGCCCAGAGGCAAGGAATTGAATGGCTTAAGTGTGAGCCCTGCCAAGTTCTTAGGTATGACTAGAATGTTGAATGCAAGGAGGGGACATGACATGGATAATGTTAGAAGGATGAACAGGGCAGGGGGGTGCACATATGCTATTCTAAGGGAATTTTGAAATGTAAACTGGTAGGATCAAATGTGAGATTTAGGAAGATAACTTTAGCCCAGCATCATGAGGTTTCAGTTGGAGGAGCAGGCAGTACTGGTGGCAGACAGAATTCAGCCCATTGTCTTAATTATGAGAACTTAACTTAAATAACCATAAGAATAAAATGGCATAAATAGATTCAAGTAGAATAAAAAAGATTTCATCAGCTTCACTGGTAACTGATTGGATGGTGGTAAGGGAGAAGGGGGACATGTAAAGTATAAAGAATTTCTGGCTTAGGGGAAGTGAGGTGAGAGAGAAGGAGATGGAGTTCTATTTAATTTTTCTAGGAGGAAGACTAATTAGTTGAGATTTGGTTATGTATATGTTCTCAGGGATTAAAAACTAATGTTTTAAGTTTTAATCATTGTTTATTGAATGCTTTTAAAAAAGCTCCTAATTTCTCTTAAGTGACAATGAATGTTTAGGCATATACAGAAAATGGTGTGAACAAAAAGCAGATAAAAATCCTTGCTCCTAAGTGGTTTGCAGTCTCCTCAGAGGAATAGTAACAATTTATAGTACAGGTTAAGCGTTCCTTATTCAAATGCTTGGGACCAGAGGGTTACAGATTTCAGGTATTTTCTGATTTGACAGTGTGTGTGTGTGTGTGTGTGTGTGTGTGTGTGTGTGCGTGTGCGTGTGTGTATGCGTGTGTGTAATGAGATAAACTGCAGATAGGACAGAACTATAAATATGAATCACTTATGCCTCATACACATGGTTTGAAGATCACTTCATGCAACATTTTATAGTGCATCTGTGTTTTCTTCTGATTTGTCACATGAAGTCAAATGTACTATTTTTGACTTGTGATGTCATATTAATGTTCAAAATTCTTTGGATTTTGGACTTTTGGATTAGGAATGTTCACCCTGTATACAGAAGTCCCAAATTAGTGATAAAATATTTAGTAGGTATGAGCACCAGATTAAGTGGTCAGGGAAGGTGTCAAGGGAAGGGAGGGCTTGAGTCTTGGAGTGGACAGTGAACCTGGTTAAGCAAAGAAGAGGAGGGTCATCATAGACTGGACAATAGATATTACAACCCCTTTCTTGAACATGTTCTCTGTACAAGCTACGGTAAACATGCTGTCCCAAATGTTACAGTCATGCAAGGCAGCTATATGGCATGTCCATTTTACAGAAGAATAAGTTGAGACTCAGGAGATTTGATGTGAGGACCATAGCTAGTAAAGGACAGAAGAGTCAGGATTTAAACCTAGGGCTGGTTGGCTCCAAACTGGTACCTTTTCCACTGCAGTGTGTTGCTGCTTCTCACTGAGGAGGCCAGAGTTCCCTACTTCTGTGTAGCCCTGCTGCCTCCCAGACATGACACTTTTTCTGAAGTCCAAGATGGAGCAATTCCTCTTCAGCCGAGGCTTTCTGTCCAGTGTGGTTCCTCAGGGAAGTTTACGCATCCATCTATCATTAGTCTAGTTCTCAGGTAGGGAGTGGGAAACAACTTCGGTATCAGCAGCACCTGGGAGCTTGTCAGAAGACAAATTCTTTGACTCTTCCCCAGGACTCCTGAGTCAGACACTAGGAGTCATGCCCCACAATTTATCTCTTAAGAAAGCTTTCTTGGTTAGTCTCGGAGTGGTGCATCTCTTTAATCCCAAAATTTCCTTCCTACTTTATGGGTATAAATCTGACCTCAATTTGCTGTGTGGCTGGCCCTTGAATGTTATAATTTGTAAATGGAAAGACCTGGGGCTTCCAGCCCTAAAGTTCATTGCTTGAATTCCAGCAGCCTAGAGAAGAACATCTGAGAGTGTGAATAAGCCCCATCTCTGGGGCAGTGCGTAGATTTCAGCGAAGAAAATTCCTTCCTACTTTATGGGTATAAATCTGACCTCAATTTGCTGTGTGGCTGGCCCTTGAATGTTATAATTTGTAAATGGAAAGACCTGGGGCTTCCAGCCCTAAAGTTCATTGCTTGAATTCCAGCAGCCTAGAGAAGAACATCTGAGAGTGTGAATAAGCCCCATCTCTGGGGCAGTGCGTAGATTTCAGCGAAGAAAAGCCCTCCGGACCTGACAAATATGTCTTGATGTTTTCCTTTTTGCAAATTTTATAACTGGGCCAAACCTAGATAAAGCAAAACAATCTCTGCCCAAACAATTTTCCAGAGGCCTCAAGATGTTAACCTCATGGAAACTGTCCAATTTACTCAACCAGAACTTCTAATTGTCGGCACTTTCCTTGCTTGATTATTGACAGGAGGAAGTGATTGGAGATTTGAAACCAGGCACTGAATATCGAGTGAGCATAGCCGCTCACAGCCAGACCAACAAAGGGCGGCTTAGTTCTCCTCAGCACGTGACCACTTTGTCTCAAGGTAAAAATAGGCTCAGATTAATTAATAATAGGCAAGTGATGGGCTCACACTCATGCCTTCATTCAGTAAACAGCATGTGCTGGACACTGTGTTAGGCTCCAAGAAGTCAGTGATGACCACAGCAAGCATGCCTGTCTTCTCAGAATTTAGTATGGTGAGCTACTACAGCAAGCATGAATTTAGTAGGGTTAGCCGAGATGTTATCTGATTAGCATACAGTCACAGATTACAAGATGTGCTATCCTTAGGCTGTGGGAACACACCACATAGGGATGCAGAAAGAACTCCAGAAGAGATGATGGCGAAGATGAGGCTGAAGGTGAGTAGTAATTAAGGTGAGGAAGGAAAGTGAGAGATGTCTTTATAGGCAAAGATAATCCACCACATGCTAATACAGGTGGCACCAGGGTGGGCACTGCAATACAAAGCTGGGTTGACTGCAGTCACTGCTCACTGCGGTGCTCTCTATATACGGATATGACATCAGTGTACTTCCACCCTGAATTACGAGAAGTACTTAAGAAGGTGGGGAAAGTCCTACAGGCCCAAGCAATAGTATACACCAAAGCTTGGTGATATGGAAATTTGGATGTGAAAACAGTAAAAAATATCAAGTGACAGGATCCTCTTTACACCTGAGCGCACTTTCCACATGTCCTACCATGGTTATGCATTCTGGCCATCAGCCCATATACAACATGCACACACATGAGTTGGAGAGTAAATGACCATAATGGCAGGCATTTAATTTCCTTGGTGGTAAATATGAATTTCAACATAGAAACACAGATGAAGGTTCATAGGAGATGGGGAGTGGTGGAATATCCTCAGGGGTTCACACCAGGTGTCCCAGGACCAGTGAAGCCAACTTAGTTCTCTTTCCAACCAGAGGCTCTAGGAGGAGAAAGGAAGGCAAGCATTCATTGACTGGAGCCATATGTTACGTGATGAAAGCAGCTGTGAGTTTTGGTGTTTAGCTTGGGTTTTGAGACTGTTCCAAACAGATATTTGGTTGTAGAAAGTACTATTTATGTATTCAACCTCTCCAGCAGCTGAGACCACCAGCCAAGTCTAGCTGTGTTTGTCATCCTGCCTAGATTCCTGCCTGCCCCCAGCAGCACCCCAGCAGCCACGGGTCCTTGTGGTTTCTGATTCTGAGGTCGCCCTCTCTTGGAAACCTGGAGAGAATGAAGGAAGCACCCCGATTCAGTACTACTCTGTGGAGTTCATCAGGTAAGTCACTGGCCCAGTCTTAGACCTCAGCTACTCCCAGGATGATATAAGACGAGAGGCGGATCCTTACCTCCTCAGACACATACATGGTTGAAAAGGACCATGTTTGCAATTGGGCTGACATGGTGCCCTTATCCTTTCTGGTGGATGGTCATTGGTGATGCTGTCCCCTCTCCTCCCAACCACTTCTGTAGCCAAACCCTGTTCTGAGCTCTGAAAACTCTTTCGGCACCTTTACTAACAAGCCTGCCTACATTCCAGACTTGAGACTTGCTCTTCTGACTTTGAGACATTATATTTGGAATAAATATTTGATGACTTTTTTCAGGGGGAGAGGGAGGAACTCCTTACAAACAAACACAGTGAACTGTGCCCTCCAGATTCATATTACCTCGGAGCAAGTTTCTGAGTTTGAGTTCAACATTTTTTCCTTCTGTCTACATCATAAATTCTTGTTATTCGATTTTCTAGATGGTAGGAATTCATACAGAACCCACAGGTTGCAAATACTTCTGTATAGTTTCATTTAAAAAAAAAAAAAGGAAGGAAAGATGAACAAAAGGAATTCCCAATGATGTAAGGTATTCTGCCTAAACTTGGATTCCATTTGATTCTAGGTGGAAGTTGAGAGTACAGTAGGTTTTACCTTGCATTAAAGATGAGGGGCTCCTCTGAGGCCCTAGTGTTGTGGATTCATAAAGAGACTCGGCAGGACCTCATTCCTCAGGCTTTCTAAAGCTGAGGCAAATGATGCTGCCAAGATTTGATGAGCTCTGTTTTTTGTTCTTGACCTCCCAGCCCCCTCCTAGGTTGTGGAAAACAGGTATTTGCGTCTTCAGAGCTGGTTTCAATCAGGGCTTGCTGCATTTCAAGTTGCAGAAGCTTGAAAGGAGATTGAGGCAGTAATGTATTGACCCCTGTGACTATACAGTCCAGTGGCAAATCTAAATTCAGGGAACACTAGATCCATGTCACCTCAGCAGTCTGTGTCCATCCATCTCTCTGCTTCATTGATTTATTTTCAAGCAGGTTTTTCCAGACCCTTAAGCTTTGTGGTCTTCTAGCTTAGCTCCCTACTCACAAGAGAGCATGTATTTCTCCATGGGCCCAGCAGAATCTTGATGTGCATTCTGATTGGTCCTTTTCCATTCGCTAAGCTGGTCGTTTTGTAAGTTCTGACTTACAAGGCTTTCAGACTTGGAGGCAGTAGGTGGAATGTTCAAGAGGACTGATCCTCAGAGGAAAACTGTGGAACAACTCTTCGGAAGAGGCAAATAGATCACAAGAAAACCTAAAAGACGAAAGGAAAGAAAGAAGGAAGAGAAGGGGACCTGAGGAAGGGAAGAAAAGAGGAAGGGGGAAAGAAGGAATGAACAGAGAGAAGGAAGGGAAGCGAGGAGGGGAGGAGGAGGAAAGGAGGGAAGAAGGAAGACAGAAGAGAGGGATGGAGGAAGGAAAGAAGGAAAGGAAGAAAGAAGGGAAGGAGGAAGAGAGGGAGGAAAGGAGGGATGGCCCGAAGACTATCACTGCGAAGCTCAAACCAGCACGCTTCCCTGAAGGTAGCCCGTAATTCTGTTTTTGAACAGATCTGATAGGAAAAGCCTGGAATATGCCTGGAATAGAAAAGTTTCTAATCCTAGTTCTAATAGGAGTTAAATAAGCAACATTACAAGTTCTAAAACTTTAGCTCTCTTATCTCTAAAGCCTGGGGTGAAACTTAGCACGTGATTTACTTCCACAAATAAATTAGACAATACCAACAGAGCAAATGTAATACTTTAAAATTTTGAGAAATACAAATAAATCTTTTATCGTAGCTTAGCAGATCATCTGTGTAGCTAGCAAAGATGATAGTTCTCGTTCATTATTAGTTTCATATTCAAACATGTATTTTTCAAACTTACTCTGTGTCTGATATTGCTAAATGGTGGAAATGGCTGTTTCCTAACCTTGGATGAACAGTGGAAGTAGAAAAGGAGTCTCTGGATTCACAGCCAGAGCACCCAGGACAGTGCAGCTTCCTCCACTCACCAGCCATGTGAGAGCACCCAGGACAGTGCAGCTTCCTCCACTCACCAGCCATGTGGCCCCAGGCAAATCACTTTCCCTCCTGAGCCTCCACACCTCTCAGAGTTTGAGACCCTTCAAGGCAGAGCTGGAGACAAGGACTTGGGTACAAGCAGTGTACTTGGAAGCAAGAATGAGAGGGCCAGGATGAGACAGGGAAAGGGGGCATATGTGAGTGTGCTGGTAAGGACACTGTTACGGGTAAGAGTAATGAAGTCTTCCTGGTGCCTTGACACTGAACTCTCTCAAATTTACCCATAAAGACATTTGCACACTGCTCTGTCCTCCTCCGTTGTTCAAGGGTAACTCCTGAGGATAAATGAGTCTCCACATTTCCAGACTGCTGTACTGGTGTGTACACTGGGGGAAGGGAGCAGCAGGAGACCAGGTAGACTGATCTGAGCACAGCATGTGTCTCAGGGTGCTGGCTCCAGGAGGCAAGTCTGCGCTCTCTCCAGTTTGCCCCCAGCACAGCCACTGCTGAAATCACAAGTGGGACAAAGTGACAACAACCACAAACTCTGTCCACAAAACATGGGCAATAATTTCTTTGAGCCTTATAATGTGTGGTTAAGAGGTCAGATGAAATTGTGTGTGAGAAAGAGCTTAGCAGGCATTAAAAACCTGCAGAAGTGGAAAGGGCACATAAACATTGTGCATCTTTTGTTGGCAATTATAATTCCTCTCAATGAAAAACACATTTTACCATTCAGGACTATTTCCCAACATCTGAGGGAATCAAGCCCCAAACTATAAACTATTCTTATAAACTTTTAATTCTTTAGAACTGATTTATCTTGACAAAATAGCATCACACTATCCTGGAAAGCAAGGTCCAAATCTAAAATTCTTGGCATCCTTGGGGTGCCAATGCTCACAGTAGATCTAGGGAAACTCCATCCTTGGATATCTCTGTACTAGGAACTCCGCCTGTGAGTCTTCCAAAATGTGGCACTTTGGCTAAGTTGCTTCATCGCAGAGCCTCCACTTTCTCATCTGCAGTTTAAGGTGGACGCAGCCCTCACTTCTGTTATCACGCAGTTTTCCTGTTCACACACAGTTGGTATTGGGGGATATGTATGTTTCCTTCCTACCATTAAAAGAGAATTGAGACTCAGTTGCGTCAGTTGCTTGACTGGTGTAGATGAAGGTAAAATTTGACTTGGGTTCTGACTTCCAACCAGTGCTGTTTTTCTGAAGCTCCTTATCCCTTCATGTCAGTGATTGTCTTCAGAGATGAAGCAGGCCTCAGCCTGTCCAGAGATTTGTAGCCAGAGGAAAGGGAATACCCCTCTTTAGCCGCTCTTGCAACATAAAGCCTTCACAGCCTGCTAACATTTAATGTTGGACTATAAAATAGATCCATTTGTAAACATCTCAGAATCTATCCCACTACAGGTGAGCACCTGAGGATATGTGTTTAGAGAGGACTCTCCTGGGCTCCAAAGCAGAATCTGCAATGAGTGGGTACAATATGTGGGCTTCTCCCAACCCCATTCATATTCCAATTATATGTTGAAATCCTAACCACTAATGGTATTAGGAGGTGGGGCCTTTGGGAGGTGATTAGTTCATTGGGGAGTTTTCACAAGTGAGATTTTTGCCCTTGTAAGAGAGGTATAAGAGGGCACCCTCATCCCCCTTTTGTGTGAAGGTACAGTGAAGAGTTAACCATCTGTGAACTAAAAAGTAGGCTTCATTGGGACGTGAATCTGCTGCCACTTGATCTTGGCTTTCTCGGTTTCCAGACCTAGAAGAAACTTCTGTTTTATCTGTACGCTAGCTAGTTTATGGTCCAGTTATCACTTGGTAGCTATCCATGGAAATGCCTCAGCCACCTACAGCTACCAAAATGCTTAGATACTCAGGTCCCTTTTGTAACATGGTGTAAGATTTGCATAGAACCTATCTACCCTCTCCTGTGCTCCAAATCATCTCCAGATTATGTATAATAGCTAACAAAATGTAAGTGCTTTGTAAATAGCTCTTATAGTCTTCTTTTTGATGACTAATGAGAAGGAAAATATCTGTACATGTTCAGTAGAAATGCTTCCCCCTCCAATATTTTGGACCATCATTGGTTGAGTTCATGGTGTAGGATCTATAGATACAGAGGAGCAATTGCATATTTCTATACAAACTCAAGTGAACCGACAAAAAGATGAAAGGTTTGGGGATGGGGGATCATTCTGCTTTCCTTAGGAAGCCCATTTAATGTTTAATATTTATTTCTCTTTTCCTAGAAAAAACAAATGAGACAGACCTCTACATAAGCCAAAAGTTTCTTTTTACCTTCAAGAAGCAAACCTTTGGCAGACCAAGGCTAGAAAATTATAGAAACTGGTTTATACACAGGATTTATCCTCGGATTTTCAGTTTGTTTGCTTTTTGTTGTTGTTGTTTTGTTTTTTGTCTTTTTGAGACAGGGTCTTCCTGTAGCCTCAGCTGGCCTGGAACTTGCTCTGTAGACCAGGTTCACCTCGAACTCACAGAGATCCATCTGCCTCTGCCTTCCAAGTGCTGGGATTAAAGGCATGCACCACCATACCCGACAGATTTCAGAATTTGATGGGAAGTCATTGTCTGAGTTCTGACACTGGGAGATTAGGCTGTAGTACTCTCTGTTTTCACAGGCTATTATACATGAGTTGCTCTTGCTTGGCATTTAGCTGGGACAATAATATTAAAGGCATTGTTAGTTTCATAAAAGAAACACTTAGCTCACTAGTAAAACAGGAATCTGAGAAATTATGCTAGACCACAGTATGGAGGATCTGATGGTATCTTGAATCAAAGGCATTGGATCAGGAAGATTTTGTTCCCCACTCAAGACAGAGGACATCCCTGGCATGACCACCCTGAAGGGTTGCCTTAGCTACTGTGTCAGAGAGGAGCATGTTCTCAGATTCAGGCAGAATAAAGGTTTTAGGTTA